ATATATATATATATATATATATATATATATTATATTATATTATATTATATNTATATATATATATATATATATATAATAGTATATATATATATATGTATGTATGTATATATACATATATATATATATATATATATACATGCATACATACATACATACATACATAAATACATACATACATACAGATACCCACTGTGCTGGTGATTTCGATGGTACTGTGGAGGGCCATCGCAGGACGATGAGTGAGATCATGCCAATCCGTTGCAGCATGCAATACGTTGAGCCAGACCTCACCGAGACACCCACGCAGGTGGCCCAGAGAGCGTTAGAGATCATGCCGTATCTAACCCAGGTATGGTTGATTGCTTACTTCATTTGACCTTTTACGGAGACTTTCGACGCTAATGCTGTAGTATTGACTGAAATAGAAGCCATTGATAGTGGTTGAGAATATCGAACTTACATCCGGCCATGTCAATCAGCATAGATGTCATTGCCAGTCTCTTAATTGACTAAACCATCAACTGTGTACTGACTTTTGACTCAGACCTGGACGAGTGCGAACGGGATTGGCAACGGAGCGCGCATGTGCGGGCATGCAGGTATGCCAACCGCGAGCGTGCGTCTATGTTCATTTCTGCGGATGATATATTGTGCGCTTAAGGGCTTGTTCGTGTATGTTGTATCCATGTTTCTCCAGCAAATGTGCAATGCATGACTACTCCCATACCACTGTGACGTGCTGTGTTCCGAGCCCATTGAGATCCGACCTGGTCTATTTGTTCGGTCCTTTTGACCACGCGGCCTTCGGAGTTCACAGTCCAGTGTGTGCTCTGAGCCGATGTGCTCTACTACCAGTACAAGCTGCACCTGTCCCGCACTTGTATTGGCGTGTTAGTACATGTGTTTAAACGTGTTATACCCTGCATCGCTTCTACCCCCTCCCCTTCCACACACACACCACCACCACGCGTGAGCACGCACACGCGTGCGGACTTCTGCGACTACAGGCACAGCCCCACTATCACGAAGCGTTCGCCTTCTGCGTCTTTCGCACATACTCTCTTGGGTATGTGTGATTGTGTTTATGGTATGTTGTACACTGAGGTAAGTATGTACCAGACCGCATGACAAACGCTACACTACCCTGCGGTATGACACACGGCCAAATGTCCTTACCATCTACCACAAGAATGCTCGTTGTGTGACCAAGTTTTCTCGATATACTTTTTTTGTATACATCCCATCCACCGGTGCGTTCTGTCCAATATCTATTGAGATGACGCCTGTGCCTAGTGCATGCCCAAGAAATGTGGCGGTGGACTCAACTGTGGGAAGAACCTATCGCTACACATATCTGTATATCCACTATCCACACCGTCCCAAATGAATTCGCCCTTCATACCTCTCATTACATACATGAGTGTGTATGTGCACGTGCATCTGTGCCCAAGTCATGACATACATGAGTGTGTATGTGCACGTGTATCTGTGCCCAAGTCATGACATACATGAGTGTGTATGTGCACGTGCATCTGTGCCCAAGTCATGACAATACATGAGTGTGTATGTGCACGTGCATCTGTGACCAAGTCATGACATACATGAGTGTGTATGTGCACGTGCATCTATGTTCAAGTCATGAAATACATGAGTGTGTATGTGCATGTGCATCTGTGCCCAAGCTATATCTCAATACAACCATGTGTGTACGTATGTGCCTCCTTGCAGACGGCGAGTGCGACGAGTCCTGTGCTGAGCACGCGATGCTTGCCGAGTGTGCCAAAGCCCCTATGGGAGTGTCTCACGTGTGTGTGCGCACATGGATCGAGGAAGTGGGTCTGGCGAGCAGCACAGACGGGGTGTGGGATAAGGATATGGGAGATAGTGTGGATCTGTACCTGCGTAATCTGGTAATGCGTGGTGCGTTGTTGAGGGTGGGTATAACCGAGCCCATGTATGTACACCCACACCACGCTGGGATTTGGGCCGCCTCCCCGGTGATATATGTTGAACCATCGGAATCGGCCGATCAGGATGAGGAGGGTGACAGGGGTGTGGAAACACTTGAACGTGCGAAGAATGATGATATCGATAAAGTTACAGAGGGTACAGATGCGAATACAGACGTACGGAGCGATACGGAACAACTGGATGAGAGTAGCGTGCAGAAGTGTGTGGTACCGGCAATCGATGATGTGGTCGAGTTTGACAGGAATGGCAGCAAGACCAGGAGGAGTAGGAGGCAACGGACACGGCACTCATCCAACGGCAAGAAAGGCGCAAAGTCACATCAGACCCGGAAATCAGAGCAAGAGAACGAGCACCAACCCCAGCAGCAACCACCGCCAGAGATGAGCCGTTCGCAAGCAACGGTGCAGCAGGACACGTCTGTAGATACACAGAATGGGGCGCGGGATGTGGAAGCGCAGTCTGTCACTGTGGCGGACTCCACAAAACTTAAAAAGAAACCCAAGCCAGACGCGTTCAAGATTGACGACACACTCGTGCGCGTCATTGACCCATGGGTCAGCCCGAATCCAGAACAGGTGTGTGTGTGTGGTGGAGTTGATCTATCAGAGTTTTATCTTTCAATTAGCACTGAACCCCACGTAAATTGTCGTTATTTTGCTTGATATGTTGGTGTAGATGTATATGTGTGAATGTCAGTTGTGTATAGGACGGTGAATCGTGTTTGTGTGCGATGGAGTTAATCTATCAGAAACTTATCTTCGAATTGATACCGATTTCCACATAACTATCCTGTGAGACATGGATATTTTGCTTGGTATGATAGTTTATATGTAACTATGTGTATGTCGATTATGTATCGGATTGTGAATCGTTCGTCTGTGGGTTGTTGATGTGTCCTTCCTCATAAAGCCTCAAATCGAGCGACTACAATCCGAGTATCTTCAAGAGTGGAACAAATATGCTACACCAGGCAAAACACCCGCATCATCGCGATTTGCGTACATGTATGTACGCCTACGACCAAGCATGTACTTATAAATGTGTCTGGCTCCGTTGCAGGCTTAAATCAAGCATTTAGTTTGATTATAGAATTCGAGTCATATATCTCGTGGATGTTCTTATGTGAACCAGTTTAAATTGTAGGCCGACGCCACTAGAACGAGTAAACGATAGAAGTGCAGTTTTGAATTCGTATGCTATCTGTACTCTACTAACACTGTCAACCTGCATGTTACACCATCGACAGTGCATAAACACAGAGAGGCTGGGCAAGTTCTTGACAGTGATCACTGAGCGTGTGTTGCAGGCTCCCTGGTTATGTGAGGCAGATTTGTACAGTGACTATTCCTTCGTCATGCTCCCAAGAGCGTTTTCAGACCTCCTTCGCTTACTGGTAGCGGGCCGAGTGCTTGTTCGTAAATACCTCCCCCGCGTCAGAAAACCGGACTTGTTCTCGTCACCCCTGGATACGCTGCTGTCACACCCTGGGAGTGAGGAGATGCAAGGTGATGCTAACCAGCCTGACAAGGCCATATATCACGCCACACCGGACTGCTACGTGCGGTTGGCATACTTGTTAGAGGCCGGGGGTTGCGGTGAGGAGTAATCCTGGACCATGTCTGCTATGAGATGATAGTACATACTGGTTCTTTTGTATTGTCGCCATCTATGCGAAAGCGGGACCCGTGTAGATCACAAGTTGTACTGTGTGAATACAGCGCTGGCCAGTTGTTGTGGGGTCGACAGAGACTGGCATTACGAATGGATATTACCACGCCAGCTGGGATAAAATTGTCTTTTTCCGCACTGCAACTTTTTTAAATTGAATAAAATCAGCGGAAACCAATGATGTGTTTGTGAAAATGGTAAAATCATTCGCAGTGACATGCACACACTGTTAGTTCGGAGATATTCTAGGACCGTTACCTCACTTTTTACGAGATATCTAAACTGAACGTAAAGGGTTTGACTGCGTGCCAAAGCCCATATAACCGAATCCAAAAGTAGAGTAAGTTTAGACTCGAGAGTCGGAGGATCATGGTCAACTGCTCAAATAAGGCAATTCATTTTTCAAGTAAAACTTAATATATTGTCTACCAATCGCCACATACACCTCAATCTTCCCCTGAACGCCAAAGTCTTTCATATCGTACATACTCATTCCGGCCTCGCCGGGGAAACCGTCAAACATACTTCTTTTTCAGAACGCGAATTCTAGTCAAACCGTCCTAATTTAATGAATTCCATTATCAATCATTTCCGTCTGAGAGTAAGGAGAAAGGAATCTTTCCACAATGGCCGAATCCAAAAGTAGAGTAAGTTTAGACTCGAGAGTCGGAGGATCAAGGTTCAACAGCTCAAATAAGGCAATTCGTTTTTCAAGTAAAACTTTAATTTAATGGATTCCATTATCAATCATTTCCGTCTGAAAGTAAGGAGAAAGGAATCTTTTCACAACGGCCTAAAATTTGTACTCTCTACTCGGTCTGGCGACGCCACGACTGGCCACAGTAGCAACTGGCAACTGACCGTGCGCTGGATGTGGACGATTAAACTTTGAAATTTTTCTTTCACCGAACTTTCGGATTCTGCTGCAATGTTGACTTATTTATTTACAAGCGAGTTAAATATTATATATGACTATGTATGTATAATCATAGCCAAGTGAGATGCAAATTGCAATATTTATTTTTTGTTGCATATCTTTTGAAAAAATAGAACGTCTGCGCAGCCGAATAATCGGAATCTGCTCTTCGGAGTTCCAGGGCCAGGGGCAGGCCGCAGGGCCCACAGGCGGGAGGAGGGGGCCACAGCCCACAGGGCCCCAGGGCCCAGGCCCTAGAGGCCGCCAGCCGCCAGAGGGCCCACTGGGGCACTGAGTTATCAGTTATGAGTGTCAGAGTCACTAACCCATTCCACTGACTCCAGGGCCCCAGGCTGGCAGCCGTAGGCTGAGTGGCACCGCTCGGAGCATCAATCTCGCTGTCACTCTTCTTTTTGTTTTGAAAAACAAAACTAAAAAACTAAAAAGGCAACATTCCTGATCCTCTCGGTTCTTAACTTCTTGGAGTTCTGAGGCCGAGTCTAATCGGTTATAGCAAATTTTCGTAATAGTAACAATAATAGGGTAAATTAAGGCTGAAAATTTTCGAAATGACTCAGGTGTCCTTTCGAGATTTCAGACTCAATTGCACCAAAGTAGTTAACGTATAACTCGACGTTTCCCGCCAAAGTACAGACTATTTATAAACCTACTCTAAGTGCGTAGCTTTCAAAAATTCAAATGCATGTTATAATATATCATAGAAAGTGTCTAATAAATACTACTTCTAATATATACAACCTCTGTTCTTTTGTGATACAATATGGACGAGGAACTTCCCATCTTCTACACACGCCGAGAAGCATTGAGACATCGATTGGCTAATGTCATCAATGAGGATACATCCAGTGCTAGTGATGTGCTTAGCAATATTTTGCGTACAATTGAGGAAAGTAGCATTAACACAAGTAGTATTGATAAGGAGGAGGATAGTGAATCAAGTAGTGACGAAGACTCCGAAAATGAGAATAATATTACAACCACTATGATAATAACTACAATATTAACAGTACTAACAAGCATTCATTCTGTTCTAGAACAATCAATTATCGTGCCTAGTGGATCACTTGTGTATCGTACGTACCCTGCGGAACAGAAGTTGACATATTTTTATAGATGTACTTGAAGTAAAGTATATCACACGGAAGTTGCTGCGTTAAGGTAGGTCTATTACATAACTAACAAGCATACAAGAAATATACACTGTTATTAACAGCAGCATTCAAAAGAGGCATCGTAACCGCCCGACCGTTAAACCGCTTCTTTGTAGCAAACATGCTTGCATCCAATCGAACATTTTGTGCGGGATTTCGTGTATCCAATTAGATTGATGGGGATATCGACGGTATTTTAAATTTTCTTGGTAATTTTTGAAGTTTACGTAAAGATTCCGACTAGGACGTAAAACTATAACGAAATCAACTATTACAAGAGACAAATTTTGTCTCTGGAAGTTTTCAAAAGTGGGACACGAAATCATTTTTCTAATATTTAATCGAGCATACTATTGGCTGACAAGCTATGTCGCTCGCCTATAACGTGAAACCTAGTATAGTTAAAACCCGGCCTGAGTATGCATAGTGAGTACAGATTTACTGATTTAGGCGGTAAGTTCTGATATTGATTAGATAGACTTGGTTGAGTTGGTTCCTACTTCTCGTGATCTCGTCACTATGATATATCACACATAGGACGTCGGAGTCTGGAGCCAGAGAATTTTGGAGTTGGAAGAATTTCATTCACTGCTTCAGACAGGTGACAGGCCGCAATATCAGTATAAAAGCGACACAATCTTGGAGATACACCCCATAAACTATAAACACTCGAATACAAAGCAACAGCCAGTCTCGTAGACAAGACAATGAAGTTCACATACACACTTTATGCTGCACCAGTATTCGAGACAGTGGCTGCGCTAGACGACAGCTACAAGCCTGCGACAGATTTCACAAAACAGGCGATCGCTGATTCGGTAGCTAATCTCAATTTTTCGGACTTTACGGACTTTGAAGATGTAGATCGAGGGTTTGTAGTGGCACCGGCGAGTCTCAGAGTTGTTGAAGTGAGCGGACAGATGGCGTCAGACGCTGACACGTTTCTAGATATGGTTCACGACGACAAACCGTGCCCGAAGACTGTTAATCCTTCTACGTGGCGGCAGGCCCAGTTGATGACACGAGTGAGAGCCTACAAAGTTATTGACAAGGTATACCAAATTCGGGGATTCGATTTGGCAGTGATAACCATCATCAAGGCACCTGGCGGGCTTATCGTATTTGATCCGCTTGGCACCAAAGCAACTGCCCACGAAGCATTCGACTTCTACTTGAAAGAGGTCGGACCGAACACAGGTGCGAATATGACATTAGCTTTGTGGTTTTTACACATTCCCACATGGATCACTTCGGCGGAGTACTTGGTCTGGTGGATGAAAACTCACATACGCCGCAGACACTCTCGAGATTACAAAGGACGTAGAAACACATATCATTGCCGGTCTTACTTTTGAATTTATGCTCACTCTAAGTGCAGAGGCGCCCACCGAGATGCACTCATGGATTGAAGATTGGGGATTACTCAATACAGGTGAGAATGCTGTTATGTCTGCACATAATTTTTTGACACTCCGAGGAGCAAAAGCTAGAGACCCGATGAAGTGGACCACGTGCATCCAGCAAAAAATCCAAAGGTACGGTGATCTAGTGCAAACAATGATTGGTCAGCACCACTGGCCAAATTTTGGGAACGAAAACGTCGTTGAACATCTGACTATGACCCGCGACTACATCAAATTCACTCATGACCAATCTGTTTGCCTACTCAATCTTGGTTTCGGTATGGAGGAAATCAGCAAGACTATTGAAATGCCCAAGTCTTTGGACTCGTACTTCAACACACGGGGACAACACTATGGACACCTCAAGCACAACTCCAGGGAAGTATACCAATACTACATCGGCTAGTGGGATGCTAATCCTGCAGGTTTCCAGCGGTTACCACCGGTAGAACGAGCTCAGCAGTTTGTGGCAGATATGGGTGGGATCGAGGCAGTAATTGAACGGGGCCAGTGGCATCACAATAATGGAAATTCCCGATGGTGTGCTGAAAGTATGAATCAGGTTGTGTTACGGGGACAACACTATGGACACCTCAAGCACAACTCCAGGGAAGTATACCAATACTACGTCGGCTAGTGGGATGCTAATCCTGCAGGTTTCCAGCGGTTACCACCGGTAGAACGAGCTCAGCAGTTTGTGGCTGATATGGGTGGGATCAAGGCAGTAATTGAACGGGGCCAGTGGCATCACAATAATGGAAATTACCGATGGTGTGCTGAAAGTATGAATCAGGCTGTGTTCAGTGATCCTTCCAACAGGCAGGCGAGATATCTGGAAGCTGACTGTCTGGAGCAGATCGGTTATGCCGAAGAAAGCGGTATTCGTTGAAACTTTATGCTCACAGGCACCCAAGAACTACGCCACGGTAAAAAGTCGTATCCAGAACCTGATTTGGGCGAGTCATTCCTGTTTGAAATGCCACTAAGGATGATGTTGCAGAGTTTAGAAATCAAAATCGACCCCGAAATGGCCGAGCAATCCAATGGGTTATCACTGAACTTGGAAGTGAAAGATACAAACGAGAAGTTTAATTTCATAATATCACACGCCGTTCTGATCTCGCTGCCAGTTGATGTTTTACCCACAACTGCTCGTGCAACCGTTACAGCTGAAAAAAAGAAGGCGATGATTAATATACTAACCACTGGCGATACCTCAGGCGTGTCTGTCAGCGGTGTTAGTCTGCCTTTGCCGAGCTTATGGGGTGTGTCTCCACTGTGTCTGATGGAACCTGGAACATCATAGAACCGAGTGAGCATTACGTACCGCAAGCTCAAAACACTTATCCTCATTCAGATACTTTGGCGCAAACTGCCGAATCGACGTCTTGCCCTACTGATGAGGATCTTACTACGGGCGCTTGGATTGGTATTTGTCTTGCCAGTGCTGTAATCGGTGCTGCTGTGGGAGCTATAGGTATGAAATTCCTGCACAAAATAAACCCAAGTCATTCGGAATCCACAACTAAATTCGGGGACGATAGTCAACTTAAGTGAACCACATGAGCCACTACTCTGTGCCATACAGCGTAGATACTTTTAATCGAATAAAATTAGATCAGAATAATATACAATTGGACGCCGCACATCAAGTCATCGATGTGCATAATGGATTAACACGATCCATCTTCACAGTGATAATATTTTGTACAAAACATGCGATTTTGTTCATATGTTTAATTTCACGCGCACCTATCGTATTCCATATCCATAGGCGGTTATGCCTTGTTGTTGGACTATACGGTTATGCCTGGATGATGAATTGTACCTTTTGTGGGTCACTTCCGCGGATACATCGATTGAGCTACATAATAACGAAGGGCAAACCATTTTGATCTAACCCCTCCACATTACACAATGATGTATGTCAGGTCTAGGCTCGGGATTTCACAGGTATGCAACAAGTCAGAGCATGTTGATTTAATGGAGTCAATTGAGAAACTATTATTTTATTGCCTACAAAGCAAGTGTAATCCTATGTGTATTCATTCACAATATACCGTATGATACAGCAACGGTGCAAGTCCGCAATGCAGTACTCTTTATGTAAATAGACATGAACATTTATATACTATTAGAAAACTTAACTCAGTTGAAAGATCTCGTTCGCTTTCCTATAGAGCGCTGTTGTATGATGTAAATAACTCCTGCGATTAACCAGGTGCTAAAAGATCAACCGCACAATTTAAAATGTGCTGAAGCGAGTACTAAATCTACCAGTACACACATTTGCGAAAATATACACTCTATACTCAGCGTTGCGATGGCAAGCTCTGCATCAGACGGCAACAATCAATTCATCCGCCACGAAAGATTTCGAATGCGGTGATCTATTCTCCTGAGACCGGTAGCATACATACTATATTTGGTCATGGTGAAGGGCTAAACAGTACCCCACACCTTATTGTGCTACTATATATAATTATACACTATACAAACCCTTTACATATTAGGTCATACCAAGTAACTGATCGTCGCCAAAAAGGCTTGGTGGTGCGATTTAAGGTGTCACACTCTTTCGGTTGTACTGATACATCCGCGCGCACGCACACATACAGCGCTCAGTGCGGTACTAGTGTGAAACTAGAAGAACATTCGTCGCACCACAGACGCCACTGACAGCACGCCCGCAGCCATTAAAAACCCGTCAACGAGCCACGCAGGCAGGTGCTCTTCCGCTGCATCTGCCTCTGGCATGACCTCAATGTCCCAGTGGTCCACAGCCAGACTCAGCAGCACAGCCGTGGATACGAGCGCCACACACACACGCACCACGCGCATGCCAGAGGTCTCCGCGGTGGAGGCGGGGAAGCCTTTGAGTAGCACGCCCAGCGTGGCTACGTTCACACTCGGCGTGAGCGACAGAAACCCGAAGGCCAAGCCATTCGATGCGCCAGCCTGCTTGAGAGCGCGGGTGAACGTCACTGTGGCGTGCTCGCAGAGTTGAAGGGGAATGGTGGCAGCCAGCACGGCCCCCCGCATTAGCACAGCAACCGCTTCCTGAACTACAGGCGAGTTTTCGCCCACGTGTTCAGTGATGGCCAGGTAAGCGTCTGCCGCAGGCTCGCGCACATATCGCGTGCACACACAACTCAGCACCAGCCCGAAACCCAACCACGGCACAATTTCTTCGAAGGTCGAGAGCAACAGCTTGAAAGGGTTGATAAATACACGGTAGAAGAGCGACTTGGGCTCAGTATCTGCCTCGCTATCAAAATCGCAGCACTCGTCAACGGAGTCATCGCCCACCCAGTTGCTGCCTGTGTCTTTGCTTGCTTCCTTTCCATGTGCATGCCCCTGGCCCTCCCCGTCTGCGTGGTCGTGCACGGCTTTTTCATCCGCTTCTGATTTAGTTTGTACGTCTTTCTCTCCAGCTTTACACGCACCCTTGCTCTTGGCTGCAAGGGCTACTGTGTCCTTTGAGGCGGGCTTGGCTGGTTTCCCAGCGAACGAGGTTGCTGCGATACCTCCGGCTATCGCAAGACACAGAGCCCCTACCAAGCGAGCAGCCGTTGCTGTCGGGCCCAACACGCCATACGTGACCACGGCACTGTCCAACCTGCATAGACAATGGCGCACAATACATTAGCATACGCGTATCGGCTATTCACATGAAAATGTTTGGGAGGACTAGTAAATTGGGCTGGCTTGGTGGTATTGTCAGGTGTGGCGCTGTTTTTCTCGCCAGAAATACGCCACTTACAGCAAGTCAAACTGAAATATCCCGGATTAACCGGGCAAGTGAAAAATATGTTCTAACAAACATTACTCATGTATACTAGGATATTTCTACACTGTACTCCTTACATAACGGCCAAGAAGATATTGTGCTAAAAATAAATAAATAAAAATATGTGTATATCTAGTGAAACTCATGTATGCCAGTCTGGGTCGAGGCAGGGATGCGTGAGTTAGCAATAACAACCATCACGAACACAGAATGCCACAGCGCCAAAGAGACTACCTTTAGTCCAACTTTCGGGACATAAAATACAGCAGCACCACCCGCACGACATCTGCCATTCTACTTAACGACACTGTCGGCTCGACTGCTTCGTACACATTACTGCCACTACCGACCAACTGCACGGGCTAACACCGTCACCGATGCCTCGCCGACAACGGGACCACACAAATGTGTCAATAAAACCATACACAACCGCCAAGAACACGTGCGCACAACTCAGCGCCTATCATCTAATGTTCAGGTGGGTTCACAGACACCCATTCACCTACCCTGCCGACTGACTGGCCGTCACAAACGCCGTTACAACAGCGGGAGAGCACCCTTGCTTAGCCAGCAGCACCGCAAAGGGCAGCACACCGCACGAGCACAGCGGTACGCACAAGCCTACCACAGCTCCCCTCACACTGGCAAAGAATGCATCTAACAACCCAAAGCTGCCGGCGCGAGTTCGGCCCCCCAGATACACCGACAGGTCCGAAGGAATGATCGGCAGCACCTGCAGCAACACAGCCACAACCAGGCCAATGATCAGCCACGGACACATGTCGGTGACTTCGTGAACTATGTCGTCCCACAGAGTGCCTGACCCGTCCATACCGTGTGAATGGCCACACCCACACCCGCCTTCCCCGTACGAGTGCCCATGTGAGTCATCCCCGTGGGATTCATGTGCGTGACCATGATCGTGAGAGTGTGCGTGGTCGTGCGCCTGTGCATTGTCGGATGCTCTGTGGGCATGTCCATGCTCTCCTGCGACATGGTCGTCGTGCTCGGAGGCTTCGTTCGCTTCACTGTACGTACACATATTGGATGTACAGTTGTGAACTAGTTAGATTTCTGATTCATATGCGAATGGACTGTATTTTATTATAACGTACAATGAACCAACATATATATATATATATATATATATATAATATAGATAAAGATAATAA